CTCCAAGTAATTCCTCCATATTCTCGTAGAAATTCTGCGTTACACACAAACTATCTTTACTCCAGTTTACCAGTTTCCCCTTTAATTGAAAGCTGACTTATTTTTCGATTCATAAAATCCATCAAAATTCATGGCGAGTCCACTTTTACCCACCGCAGTTAATTCCCCAGGGTCGAACTAATTGCACCGTGTACCAACGTGTCCGTTAATCCTCCTTAAAAAAAGAACGGAAAAGAGAAGAAAAAACAAGGCATGCGTAGAGCATGACCAACAGCAGCAAGTACGGTCGTTCTTTCCGGCACGACGTATGAATTATCTCTTCGGTCTAACGAGCCCCCTTATCTGGTCAGGGTATTAACTTGTCCGCATTAGCATCTGGAATTCTCATTGGAAACGATCCACGTGGCTGGGGACCTCGAAACAAGTATCTATCAGCATAATGCTTGCTCTATCCCCTGGTTCTATCGATATATCTCAGGGAGGAATGCGCCAATTCCGGCGAGTGGTGAAGCGGATCGAATGAGATCCCGCGAACGCGAGCATATCGCGCGCGGCTGGCTCCATTCTGGAACTCATAAACCACTTTCCAAGTCGTGCTCTTGTGCCGCTCATTGTTGCACGATAACGGAGACCTCTTTTTCCACGTGTCCAACAGCCCGTCGTGTATGCTAATGCAGGCAAGGATACCGCGTCTAAAATTTATGGCGAATCAGACGCCATTTTCCCCCGGCTCGGTGGTGTATAGAAGCTTTCCGGAAGCATTGGCCGGGCGTGAAAGTACAAGTGCGTCTGTCGCCGTGTTTCATTGTCGCGTGCACGCGTATAGCTGGAACGAAAAGCGTGTTGCAACCGTCCATTACGTTCTACAGCCACGCTTTTCACCCGATAAAAGTGATAATTGATCGTTCAGATAACGAAATAACAACCTTGATCACGGTTGCGCTTGTGGATAGTCAAGTAGAGAAAGAGAGGGGAGGATTGAGAGAGAGAGAAAAAAAAGATTATAGAGAGACCGTGCATCGGGGTAATTGGTTAATTTCGATCTCACGTTCTCCAACTGAACGTTCCTCTTTTTTTTCTCTCTCTCTCCCTGTCTCGATCTTTTTCTATGCTTCACGAAGACGATGAATTATTAAAATTACGACTTTCACGAGACGACGATAGAGCAGCCTGCTCGACCGAGCATACGTGACTCTCCGTAACGCTGATACAGTGGATCGGATACAGCTACCGTAGGAAACGGAGCCGTGTCTCGTCGTGGAACGGTGTCGATGATGGTACACACCGGGAATTAGATTTCCGTGAAGTAGACGGGTTTCGTTCCTTCGAAGATTCATCGAATTACTTGACCAAGCAGAAAAAAGCAAAAAACGAAGTAAAGAAAGGTAAATAAAAATTAATAAAAGAAGTATCTACTCTCTAGAAATCTTTCCTTGCATCATAAACATTACATAAAAGTAAATCGAGCAACGCGTCTTATATCCTAATTAACCAGTATAAAGTAGTCCACCTTGTCGCAGAGTGAAACGTTTCTACTAAATCAACCTGCAATCTTTCCACTAGCCTTATCAATGAATAATAGCCGTTCCACGACGACCTTTAATAGAACGTACACCTTTAAATACGTCGCTTCAAAGTCGGATTATCAGCAGGCCACCTAAATCGTCGATATATCGTCCGGTGAAAATTATTCATGGAAACGCGCTAGGTTGTCGCGCTCGTTTATCCGATAGTGGTGCAGGCTTAATCAATTGCCCCGGAATGCATCCAACCACGCAACCAGCTTCCAGGGCTGATTTATCGGCACCCGATGTTGCTGCCGTTGCTGCTCCTGCTGTCCACCGTGTGGATTTCAGTTGAGAGGAGACGGGGGCCGGGGTGTAAGAGAGGATAGCATTTCTAGCGTTGGCATGATCCAACAACGTTCCCCTTTCGCTCTGGGTAGGAAACGATAGGGGGAGAGACGGTTTGGAGAGAGAGAGAGGGATTGGACGTGGGCTACAATTGCCTCGTTCTCGTATGGCTTTGACAGGACAGGTTCATATAACTTGGTTCCATGGCCTGGCCAACCACCGGTATATTTATCGGCCGGTTATCGGTACGCACGTTCCGAGACTCTCTCGGTATGATCGAACGTGCCGGACAATGTTGACGCTTTTATGATTGAACGGCCTTTGCAGAGGCTGGTGGATACTTGTAAAGCCGCTGGCCAACCTGGAAAGAAGTTAGCCTTGCTGAGGTTGATTGCGCCCGCGGTTGAACGAACAGGATCGAGGAGAGAGTCGCGAACAGGAGGATTCCTAGTGTAAATTCACTGCACGGGAATGTTAAGTTCGTTTTGGTCTCAACTTTTAGGCAAGACCTTTGTAAATCGTACTTTTGTCGTTCGTGGTAGAGATTAGGAGTGAATTTCGAGTAGATTTAGAGGTACTTAAGTGTTGGCAGATGAAGCTGGGTCAGATGTGACCCGGAGCTGCTTCTCGTCCCACAATTAAGGGCTGATTTGAGAGTTTCTAAGTTGGGAAATTTCTTACGATTTTTCTTATTTTTACTTGTGAATCAAATTTCATGTACATTTTATGGAATTTGAAGAAAGGTTTTTATCTCGATCCTTATCCACAACTTTATGAATTTCTTCTTCACCTTGTACGTTTTGTTCGTTCTCGAAGTGTGGTCAAAGAAAAAGTGGCATCGAATTTTATCGCTATATACACCAAATAAAGAGGAACTTGTACAAGATAAGCCGTGAGAAACAAAGCTCCTCTTCACAGATCCTACTCCATCCTATCACACTTCCAGTGACAAGCGTCGTCAACGTCGACGAAAGAAGGGAAATAGAGAGATCGGATTAAGCTTGCTCCAGCTCACGTACGACAGACCAATTATGTTACTCGCGTGAAACTCGCTCGCTGCTTCCTCCGCGTACGTTACGGAGAAATCTGGAATTTATCGAGCGCATTATCATAATACTCTCTTCAATTTCGAGCAGGAATAGCGAGAGAATAGTCGAACGTCTCTCAACCAAGCCGTCCTTTTCCAATCCTCGGCGCCTTTTTACGCCGTTCGAAAGACCCTCTGAATTTCCCACACGAACGATCACACTCCTCCAGATAAAACGTTCGATCGTCTGAAAGATTTGTTCGACCACTTCGCTGGCGGTCTTCCAAACGAATCCTCTTTGACTATGCGCGTAATACCACGCGTGAAAGGACGGGGAAAAATTGGAGGCTTGAAAAGATGCGGTGTTACAGAGGGAGTGCGGTTTGGAGTCGTAATTTTGTCGAACTGCCTCGTAAAAATAAGGTCACACGGCGCTGGCTCGGATAATATTAAGCGAGCTCCTACGCCGGCGAGCGTGGATATGCGCATGCATTAGCATAAGCCTGGTATGCGAGATAGTCACGCGTAGGCGTGTATAGATACGAGTCGGCCGGGTGTAAAAAACCTGGAAAGAGAGTAAAAAGAATGCAGACTGAGGGAGGGGCGGCGGAGAGAAAGGAGGAACGCGACAACGACGACAATGTGCGGGGAGGAAAAAATATGTCACGAAGAATGAAGGCACGCGGTTAGTGTCAGCTAGCGCGATGTTTCGCCGAGACACGCGTGGCTGCTGAGTCGTGTGCTGGTTAGGCATGTTGAAGTTTCGAGCGGGGGACGTGTGGACGAGATACGAGATACAGCGGATGATCAAATTATGATCAGATGAAAAAATGGTATTTTCAGCGATGTTGTAACTTCAACGATAGTAAAGTATACCCTCTTTTTCTGTTTGTACAGTTGGGGTCGTTAATTTCCGGCCGGTTTTAGAACGGTATAACTTTTTTAAAATTCGACCTAACGACTTGAGTTTTGTACTTAACTTGAGTGAAAAATTTTTGGAAAAAGTTGCAATTTGTGGGAATCGCGAAGAAAACTGTAAAGGTCGTTGTTTACAACTTTTTTATCCGAGCTTGTTGTGAAAATTTGAAACATACGATTTGTATCTTCTAACTTCTCAAGTCATTTGGTTCAATTTCAGAGAAGTTACACTGTTCTAAAAATGGCCGGAAATTAATGACCGCAATTGTATATATGTATATATTAATTTCTTCGGTCGCAACATTAACTCTGTTGCATTCGAATAATTATTGCATTTTAACAAGATACATCAAACAAATATCTAAGTAATCTATTGTTTTTATAAAATTCTTTTATCGTGTAACACTTACTAAAATATCTAAAATTTCAAACAAAAATTAATCGAATAATTTTAGCATATGCTTTGTGCTTTGCGCTTGGAATAAAAAAGATAAAAGGTTTAAGAATTAAAAGATTATTTATAGAAGATGACAGAGATAATTATACCAATATAAAGTATTACAAAATGTTATAATAACATTAAAATTAAAATTCTTAGTTCAATCAAAAATATAAAATGTGTATAATATTGCATACTAAGTGCATCACTATTTTCCGAACTCCACGTGCTGGATCAAAAATAGATCGTACGAACTTCGTAAAAGAGGTATAAGACCAACAAAAAAAATATACTGAATTAATTGATTTGTTTACGGTAATGAAAATTTTTAAAAACAAAATATGAAGAAGGCACATTTTCTAACTTGTGTTTATACATTCTGCATTACAGAAAAAGTATTATTTGAACATATAATTAATATTGAGTATAGTATAGGAAGATAGAGTATATTAAAGAGCTTTCCAAAATACTATGGTATGAACATACCTTTGACAAGAAACGAGTAACATACATTCATATCTTTTGAAATCATGGTATGCCTAACAGTATTTGCACAATCTTAAATAATTATGAACATACGTGCAAATATGGCGTTATATTAACTGAAAGTGAAAAATGTTTATAAACATTTTTTCACAGCAAACAAAACTTATTTTGCATGATAAAGATAATCTGTTAATTATTGAAATAGGTTGAAGCTTAGTTGAGCAAAGTTAATCACAAATCAGCTGCGATTAAGATGCAATTATAACGTAGAATCAACAGGTTTCCATGATATAAGTATAACTTTGTTTTGCTTCGCTCTCTTTAGCAACGCACAAATTGTGAGCTTTGCACTTATCATGATGATTCACAATTTCAAGTCTAAAATTACCATTCCCTGCAGCAAATGAAGTCCGTATTTCAGGTATTGAATCACTCCACTTCCTACAGTATTTACAAAACATCAGATTTGATCTTTTATCATACCGAAGCCAAGAATACATATCCAACCAACCAATTTTGAATCTACCAGTTTTTCTACTTTGAGAAATAGAGCGTTGCGAAATATTGCATAAAGTTGATTGAAGTACTGACATACTATGCTGTGGATTCATAATTATTGACCTGTATAGATCATTGTTATTGTAAGACTTTTTAGCATTTATGTTGCTTTCTGACAGTGAACTGAGTAGAGAATTTAATTCTGCGCTATTGCTTTTGGACAAATTTGATTTCAAAGACATAGATTGATTTTTCAAAGGTTTGTAAGAATTTTCGTAACGATCGGATGTAGTTCCTGACATATTGATAGACAGAGAACCTCCAGCCATGATAGTGCTTTCGCAAGAAACTTGTATCACAGCGGGATCTGGTTGATTTTGGGTCATGTTCTGTACATCCATAGTTTCGTCACTCTTCCCATGTCTTTGAACTTCCCACTCCACACTAGTCTGTCAACAGAGAAGGAAAGGATATGTGTTTAATCAACACATCTTTGATTTTGTCTTTTAGCATATAAGAAGCCAATTTTGTATCTCTATTTAGACATCCCTTCCTTCCCATGTTTCATTGGACTGAGTAGTTGTAGGAAAATAGTAGAAAATCATTAATTTGGGAACAGTAACGAAACTTCATATATTTGCCATATTCTGCTTGATACATCGCATGATTTTATGGATAGCTTAGAAGCTATGCGTGAAAAATTAATTTAATAAAATAGATTAATTATAAAATGCAACAGCAAAATAAAAGAATAACATGCTGAAATAAAAGCAGTATATAACACAAATATAATTAAATGAATATACATTAATATTAAAATTTACATCATACTAAAACTATACTTTTAATTGTCACAAATTCTAAAAACTAAAGTTGCTTAAATGATAACTAATT